GTCACTCGGTGCCACTCACCTTGGTTTGCTGAGCAGGTGTAAAGCAGAGAGGCAGGCTTTAGCCAGCAAAGGATAAGAATAGCAAATGTAAGAATCAATTCAATTTGTCAATAGAAAAACAAAACTACAAAGATGACTTTCTTCTATAGCAATAATCAATTTCCCACTTTTTTATCACTTAAAAATAAGGCAGGAGAAAGATTACTATTCATTTACAGTCTTGTGTGAGAATTTCTTTGTGAAAGTCTACAACAGGCCTTTTTGAGACTGTGTCTTGGGCACTGCCATGCCAGCCCGCCAGGCAGCAGGCCCTTCTCCTCAGGTGCAGACATTGGTGTGTGCCTACTGCTTTCTGGAAGCTTGACAAACACAAATTCGTGACCTCGAGATGAAGGGACCTTGGTCTGATCACCCCTCCAGCCACTTTTACAAACTTCTGACCGCATCATTTAAATAAGCCCATTTTATAGATGCTATTCTTAATGAAACACTTCAATTCAGACAGTTATTTTTCCTTATTCATGTATGAAAAAATTTTTTTTACTAGAGGGTATGCTTGACTCTGGGGCAAGCACAAGATATTATACTTCCATTCTGCTGAAAATATCTTTTAGGTGCACCTTTTAAAATGTTTGACAACACAGTTTGTACAGTTTGACAACATAGCATTTCTTTGGCATAGTATTAGGTCAAAAGAAAATGAAGGTAATTTAATGCTATAATTAGGACTTCACTTCAAAGGGTAAGGTACTCTGTGTGCAGGGGAAAACAGATTAGTAGGACATGAAAGACAGTGAAAGAAAAAACAGAAATATAACATTTATAGTGATAGAACTTTGGTAAGTCCCAAACTTCTGATATTTCATTAATACAAAAATACATGACTACATTATTAGGTTGACAAACCATAACTCCCAGAATTGAAAAGTTAATTATGAGTCAATTTTTTATTTTAAATACATACTAATCAATTTTCATGTATGTCGGAAATGTAGACAGACATATACTTTTAAGATTATTTTATAAAAGCAAAGCATTAGCAAAAATTGGAAAACTGTGCACTGACATCTGTTAACAGCTGTGTATATATGGTAATTTATTTTAGAGACTGGCCAGAAGAAGGAGCACATATTATTTGGGATGTCAGTTCCTAGTAAACTATAGTAACCTCTCACCTTGCTCTTTCTTAAAATCTTTCTCTGACATGGCCACAGGTAAAAGCAGTTCTCCAACAGGTGGCTGAATATTAACATTGAAGCAATCATCCTTGGTACTAAGGAAAAAACACATAAAAGCTGACTAAATGCTTAGTAACTAAACATTCTTAATACTATGTGGTTAAATGGATACATTAAAGCATATGCCAGCGTACATAAAGTATTAAGATATTCTTGGCTTAAATAACACAGCTAAAAAGGCTTGAAAAATTTAACACTATTTACAGAGAAATACATCTCTTACCTTAATTGGAAAACATTTTTTTTTCAAAATTATGCAGTTATAGTAAATATACCACTTGACATAGAACCTTAAAAAAACAACAGGCAGGCAGCAAGGGTATGCTGTATTACCAGAGGAACACTCATGCAGCTCACAGAGTAGAGAAGTAATGTTTTATCTTTATTTTGTGTGCTTACAGTACAGAAAATGGAGTGTTTTTATTTTAATGGTTAAGATTTCTATTTTAAAGTGTTAGATTAGTCTTTAATAAATAAAGTGGAGTGACCTTACTTAGATATGTGCTAAGAAAATAATCCCTCATCTGCAAACTTGCTTTCTTGAAACAAAAACTCTTGTTTTCTAGTAGTGTGATTTACTGACATTATTGATAAACATGTGGTGAAAGCTATTATTTCCAAACTAGAGGCCCGGTGCATGAAATTTGTGCCTCCCCTGCCAGCCAGACTGCCCCTAACTGCCCTCCCCTGCCTCCTGATCGCCCCTAACTGCCCTCCCCTGCAGGGCTGGTCACCCCCAATTGCCCTCCCCTACAGGCCTGGTTGCTCCCAACTGTCCTCCCTTTCAGGCCTGATCCCTCTCAACTGCCCTCCCCTGCTGGCCATCTTGTGGTGGCCATCTTTGACCACATGGGGGCAGCCATCTTGTGTGTTGGAGTGATGGTCAATTTGCTTATTACTCTTTTATTAGATAGGATACAGGATATGAAGAATTTAGTAAAGGCAACGTTCTCTTTGTATCAGCTAGAGCAGCAGTTCTCAACCTGTGGGTCGCGAACAATGAAAATAGATCCTGCATATCAGATATTTACATTACGATTCATAACAGTAGCAAAATTACAGTTATGAAGTAGCAATGAAAATAATTTTATGGTTGGGTGACACCACAACATGAGGAACTGTATTAAAGGGTCATGGCATTAGGAAGGTTGAGAACCACTGAGCTAGAAAAACCAACACTGAGTGCATGTATTCATTTAAATCTTGACACTACTCTCTACAAAAATGACTAACACTACTTTAAAAATATTTTAAGTTACATGTTTAAAGGTAGGTTGATGAGTGTATCAGTTAGAATGTGTTTGGCTGCAAATAAGCAGAGAATCCAACTAACAATTTCTTGGGAAATAGGAGCTTACTGTTAGTACTGAACAGGTGCTGGAGTTACCAACCAAAGGCTGGTTCAATGGCTTAAAGATGATGCTAGGAACCTCAGTTTCTCTGGCTTTCATCCCCACCATCCCTAGTGTGCTGGCTCTTATCCTCATGGTTGCCATGCAGCTGCATCCCCAGGAACCACTTTCACATTCCACCGAAGAAGGAAGATGATGATGAAAGAGTAGTGAATAATTGAGCCGACCAAATCTCTTCCTTTGCGTCAGGAAAGCCCTGCAGAAGGACTTCTACACGTGTGTTAGAACTGGGCCAGTGGGGAAGTGGCCAGGGAGGTGGGGATTGCAGATAAGAAATACTGAACATTGGTTAAGAAACACTTTATTACAAGTGGGGTAGGGACACATAATGTAATATGAAAAAAGGAAGATACCCATTTTCATTTTATGCTATTACATATTTTATTTTTGTAAGCTGGCTTATATTTTATGGAGTAAAGACTAGAATAATATTAAAGAATGTTTTGAATTATCCACATGTGGATTGCCCAAGGCAAAACAATAAGCCCTATTTATTAACTCAATAAAATGTACTGACTATAAACTCGATCCCCTGTACGGTGCAAGTACATGGGATTTAAAGACAAACGAGATTGGCCCTTGAAGTTCACAAGTCCAGTGAGAGATGCGTTTATAACAGGATGGTAAGTGCTCCATTAGAGATATGTGGGGAGGGTTACAGTCCATGGAAGAGGGGCTGATTAATTCTGCAGGAAGTGGAGGTAGTCTATTTCTGAGAGGAGGGAGAGGGATGCTCTAGACCAGTGGTCGGCAAACTCATTAGTCAACAGAGCCAAATATCAACAGTGCAACGATTGAAATTTCTTTTGAGAGCCAAATTTTTTTAAACTTTATATAGGCAGGTACATTGTTTTTCATTTAATTAGGGTACTCCTAAACTGGCCTTTGCTAAAAACGTCCTCAATCTGATTGAGGTATGTTCGCTGAGGTCGACCCCTTCCAACTCTCCCATCCACACTTGTCTTGTATACTTGTTTTGTCTCCTTTCTGAAAACCGACTTCTGCGCATAGGCCACGAAGTTTCAATCGCACCCGCACGTGGTATTTTGTGGAAGAGCCACACTCAAGGGGCCAAAGAGCTGCCCCTTGTGGCTTGCGAGCCGCGGTTTGCCGACCACTGTTCTAGACATTCTAAACCTGTGTTTTGGGAATGGTGAGCAGTGTGGAGTGTCGAAGAGATGAGGCTGGGCACACTGTAAAGAGTGTCTTATACAGCATAACCATTAGTCCCAGTTTGCCCACGGCAGTTTATGACGGTTGTCCTGGAGTCCTTTTCAGTTAATGACACCTTTCATTCTCTAGTGTCCTGATCTGTATGACAAAGTGTATGACTTCTTTACTCATATAACTTAAGACAAAGCTGTTTCAGTGTTTCTTGAAGCAACAGGGACTTTTGACATAGGAAAATAAATGATCCTATTTGTATTTCAGAAACTCTGGTGGCAATGTGTATGTACGGTGGAATAGAGGAGAAACCCAAGGCAGGTAGATCAGTTAGGGATCTAATTTAGTAGGCTAGACAGGGTGTGTGTGTGTGTGTTTTAGCATTGACTGTGCATTTTATTTAGTAAATCCTAACAATGACTTTAAGAGGTGGCTTCTGTTAGCTCCAATTTATTAATAATTAAACAATATGTCCAAGGTCACATAGCTAGTAAGCGTCAGCACTGGGGCCTGGCCCCAGGCTTATTCTATTCCAAGGTCTGATACATATATATTCATACTCCACTACACAAGGCTGTTTCCCTAGGTGGGCAGAACTGAACATGGGGAATAGGGGAGGATCTGAGAGTTAAAGGGACAGATCCGGTGATGGATGGGAGAAAGAGACTCTGAACCTTCTAATGTGAACACTGGGAGGATGACAACTACTGAAGAAGCAGAGTTTGGGGGATTAAACAAAAATTAATTTGTTTTGAGATATTATATTATGTCACATTATATTTTGAGCACCACTGAGTTACTCAGGAAAAGATATTTAGCAGATCACTGGAAATACAAATTAATACTCAGGAAGGAGGCAAGGGCAGTATACATGAGTCTGGAAGAAACGTGAGTGAAACAGGGAAGAGCTGAAGCCTTATCAGTAGTTAAGGTCACACAGGGAAAGGGGATATACCAAGAAAAAGGGTAAGGAAACCTGGGGAAGACCTGCATTTAAGTAAAAATGGAAGAAGTGCAAATTGCAGAAGAGACTGGGACAGACAGGACAGGAAGAAAAGGTATGTGTCAGATACTACAGGGAGGAATAAGCAGCAGCAAGAGTAACTGCTGACCTTAGCAAGGCCGAACAGGTTGGAGGAGGAACTTGGGATTCAGGGAGTTGAAAGGCAAATGGGGACATTGGCAGTCAAAAGCAGCAGAAGCTCCCTGCAGCAGAGGCAGAGAAGAATGCTTCAGGAAACCTGAACATGCTCAAAGGCTGAGGGGAAAGAGCCAGTGAGGAGGAAGAAACAAAGCATAGCTGATGCTGGGGTCCTCAAACCATGGCCCGCAGGCCACATGCAAATACAAATATTGTATTTGTTGCCATTTTGTTTTTTTACTTCAAAATAAGATATGTGCAGGGTGCATAGGAATTTGTTCATAGTTTGTTTTTAAACTATAGTCCGGCCCTCCAGCGGTCTGAGGGACAGTGAACTGGCCCCCTGTTTAAAAAGTTTGAGGACCCCTTTATAGAGCAAGGTCTTAAGACTTAAGAGGAGGAGAGGAGGTTGGAATTAAGAGCACAAGGGGGAAGTGAACGGGTCAGCCCTGGAATGGAGGAGGGAACTTCTGAAAACAATAGACAAGGGGTGGGTAAGACAGAAGCACTGAAGCTGGGACCACGCCCAATGCAGTGGGAGGCTAAGAGAAATATGTAAAGGCAGATGAAAGAGTAAATGGATAGATACACAGATGTACATGAAATACATATAGTGAACTAATTTAGTGTTAAATATAAAGCTTCAGCTTCAAATGGCTGGAAAAACCAGTGTTCTCCAAAGTGGAAAGCACAAGGGTCTGCTCTGGCAAAGAAAATCCATTGAGAAAAAACCTACTAATTATTTTTTCTCATTCCTTTTGAAGTTCTGTTTTTTTTTCTGTACATATTTTAGTATACACGTTAGCACAGTGAGAGATATACACATGTAATTTAAAAATACATTTATACATCTAGGGAGTGCACAGAGAAAGATTTTAATGTAAATTGTGTAAATGTACACAATTAAAAAGTTAGAGGACCACTGGGTTAAATTTGTTGTTCTTATAATTTTATTCATGTTTTAAAACTGGTTATTCCTACTATATAGAAATGTTAAAGATTTTCATATAATCACATACACATTTCTAAACTCATTAGCTTAAAAATAGATTTTCTGTTGATACTATGATTTCTGGGTTGATAATTATGTTAAATAAAATGATAATTTTGTCTCTGTCTTTCTAGGATTTATACCTTTAACTCAGTGGTTCTCAACCTCCCTAATGCCGTGACCCTTTAATACAGTTCCTCATGTTGTGGTGACCCCCAACCATAAAATTATTCTCGTTGCTACTTCATAACTGTCATTTTGCTACTGTTATGAATCATAATGTAAATATCTGATATGTAATTATATATGTGTTTTCCGATGGTCTTAGAAAAACCAAAATTTTTGCATTTACAACCCCAAGTGGCATGCACATTTATGAGCTATCCTTTTGGGTTTTAAAATCAGGGTGATACTAGCCTTACAGAATGACATGGATGCTTCCCTTCTTTTTCTTTGTTCTAGAAAAGTTTAAATAATGTAGAGATTATTTCTTTTTTGAAGTTCTGATACCATTTAACTTTTTTATTCATAATTTATACTTTTCTAGGAAACCATTTCATCTAAATATTCCAATTTATTGGTATAGAAGTATACATATTATTTAGAAGATCTGTTTTATCTCCTTTCTCTTTTCTAATCTTTCCTATGTGTCTTCTTCTTTTTAATCACATCAGCCCATATTTTCTCTCACTCTTTTGTACATTCTCTGTCTTTTAAGAAAATATGTATTTTCTGTATTCAGAAAACAAGGAATTATTTGGAAACATAATAATTATGTTAGATCAGGCTTGATAACCAAATTATTGAAATTTTGTGTTTGTATATATAGCTATATGTACCTATATGTCTATCTATATATCTATCTTCTTCTGATTTGTCATTTTCTGATGAGTTATTAAAATTACGCCGAAACCGGTTTGGCTTAGTGGATGGAGCGTCGGCCTGCGGACTGAAAGGTCCCAGGTTCGATTCCGGTCAGGGGCGTGTGCCTGGATTGCAGGCACATCCCCAGTGGGGGTTGTGCAGGAGGCAGCTGATCGATGTTTCTCTCTCATCGATGTTTCTAACTCTCCATCTCTCTCCCTTCCTCTCTGTGAAAAATCAATAAAATATATTTAAAAAAAATTACTATTATCATGGCTTTGTCAATTTCTTCTAGCACTTACACATGTTAGTATTACCACTATGGGTCTCCTCTCTCCTGGTGGGCTGACTGGACTTAAGTAGATGAGATGACTGGTGGGGCGGACTCAATAAATTGGAAGACGGGTAGGCAATGACCTTATCTCTTCATCAACAGATGTAATATTGGATTTACCCTAGTGGTAGAGGGTTTGAGAATATTACTCTATTAGATACTACTGAGTTTCATCTCATTTCAAAACCATCCCTGCCTCGTTCCCACAAATTCAAACCCTGCTGTTCCTTTAGACTCCCATATCCACACCAACACCCTTCCTGGCAAGCAGTTCACTTTCCTTGCAGTACAATTCTTATGTTTGCAATTAACTGTGAAAACT